TCTGAACACCTTCGAAGTTATACCACATTGAAATAAACATAGCCTGAAACGACATTTCCCGCAATAATTATGAAAACCCAAGAACAAATTTTACTGGCCAGTATTAGAGCATTCACTATACACAGCCTGGGATACATCGACTTAAAACTCTGAGAGAAATAGCGTTTTTTGTGAATATAAAAAATGACCTCTGCTGACTTCCGCTGACCTAAAAATACTACGAAACCCCACATTTTATCAATTTCCGCCAAAAAAGTTCCAACTGCATCACGCTAAAAATGAACGAATGAGACGACTTTACAATTGTTGTTTTGCCTCACCATCACAATAACTCACAGACCCATAAATCAACAGAACATTTACATAGAAATGGAATTTCATGTGTTATTTATAAATTAAAAATAATAAACAATGAAAAAAAGCACAAATAGATAAATTTATTACATCTGACAGCAATAGTGTAAATAAGTAAGGTGTTAGTGCCATAGGTAGTATATTTGCATATGACACCCCATATAACTACTGAGTATAGCTGCATTTACATCGGATCCGAACCGAAATTCGGGCCACGTTTCCGAAGTGCCGAACGCCAGTGTCCCTGTTGTAGTACACACTGATTCAATTTTCTGATCGGCCTTCCGATCCGAGAAATGGGATTCGTGTGAATGAGGCTTTAGTTTCGTTACGTGGTACGGTATTATTCAGGATTACCAAAATTTGCACAATTTGTCTTGCATAGTAATCTTGTGTGGTTATTTGAAAAATTGTACAGAATGCTATTTCTTGTTAGGTGCTCAAAAGAAAAAAAAATCCAGATTAGCTTTGTAGACCTGTTAATAAATGAGCTAAATGGTAAGGTAATGTGGGGGTGGTCTTTAGTTTGCCATTTTTTATTTATGTTACTCTTTCTTCATACAGGAGGTCGATGTGAAAGCAATCCAGACATTAGCAGAATTAACCTCCAGATGTATAGAACAGTTTCACAAAGCAGCAGAATCAATGCTGCTGCAGCAAGCCAAGGAACACTCCAAAAACCCAATCCAAATTGCAGCTATCCTGTCTAACATAAGAACATGTTAAAACTATGAAAGAATTAGCAAAGAGTAATGTGTCTCCGAGAATGTTTACATGTATACCAGCTACATGAATAATTATAAAGTTGTAATTCTTTTCGGACTGTGTTGGTCTAAGGGCCGGAGTTTAAATACTAGGGTTTTAGTTTGTTTGAAACTACAGTTTACTATTGTACTTCGACCGTAGCACACTTTAAATATAAGCGCTATCAATCCGCCCCTGAGGGATTGAATTTTGCCTGTTCGGCTTGGCTGATTCCTAAAGTAAAGATATACTGCGGTTTTCAGTTAAAATAAAATTATCTATTTTTGTTTTTACTTTTGTGTGTATACCAATATTTAATCATTTTTACGTCATTTGTTTCATCTTCTAACAAACGTAATGAATTTAGACAAGTATTTTTTTTCATTTTAATTCCATAACAAAAGAAAAAAACTTCCAATTAAAATTGATATCGAATAAATATAATATACGCACACAAAAATATATGAATAAATAAATAAGTAAATAAATCAAATAATAAATACATAAAGCAAAAACATATCAATAATTTTTTATTTAAATTTGGTTAAACTGTCACAATGTGGATTCGTCGTACGACCGTCATCGACGCAGTAAGTGTCCGGCTTCACATTAATATGACTTTTGTTCTAATTATGACCTTAATACTTAGCTGCTTAGTAACCGTAGAATCATGCTTTCTGATGTTTTTTTTCTTTATTATAATGAATTTTGATTTTGATTGTGAAAGTTACTATATGATTTAATAACCATGTGCCTAGCAGCACGCGAAATAGAGCGCGTTAAAATCTGCCATTTGGATGTGTTAATACCGTTAATTTTTTTTTTTTTTTGAAAACCACATTATGTTTCGGTTTTTCATAATAAAACATTAAACACAATAAGATTTTCACAAAGTGATGCATAAATTTACAACGTCTGCCATAAAATCTGGAAACCCAAACCGGATTAAAATAGGCCTATAGGCTTATATGTAGGGTTAATTTTAGGGTTACAGACAGACATCCCTCAGACAGTGCTCCAGTGGTGCCGAATTGAGGTACACTAGAACACAGTGTATTAAAACAGACAGGTATCCCTATTATATATTACAGGTATCCTTCTGCACCATATCAATAGGATGCTCGGGCCCGGGGCACAATAAAATTATGAATTATGAATTCCTCCAACGCCCCAATCTTGCAAAATGCGATTTCCCCATTTCAGGAAATACGCCACTAGTATTGTTATACAGTACATAACAAAAATTGAGTCGTTGCATACATATTCTTCTTTCAATAAATCGATGAACCCCAAATAAAACGGGGGTCGGGGTTTTCCTCGGGGAAAATGTTGGTTCTTGGATGGCGAGAAATGAGTTTTCAGTTTCATGACTTCTGAAGTGTCTTTTAATCAAAATTCAAGGTTTTCCAATTTTGTAAACGGTCAAGTAATTTTTTCTCGTTCTTATTACGGTAAATAGGCCTATGTGTGTGTGTATTATTATTTTTAAAATTTTTTTCCCAAGAAGGGGCTCAGGACCCCTCTGACTCCTCCCTCAAATTCGCCAATGGATGAAAACTTCTAATGCATCTTTGTAGCCATGCCTTTCACACACAGTGCCCCTCTGCCCCCTACTGCAACTGCCCTTGATTACTGACATCCTTTCCATCTCCACTCAATTTGCCTGCCCAAGCACACAATAATTCGTTGTTATAGTGTCCGATAATTTTTACGTCTCGTGTTCTCTTAGTCTGTTTTCATTTCTAGGCAAAGCTCCCAGAATGTACTCGACGAATATAATAAATGTCGCTTTAATGCATTGGTGAAAATGAATGAAGCTTAGATTACCTAGGAAGGGCCAAGAAAGTCATGTGGTTTATAACAAAGAAATAGATTTAATACCAATAATTTCAAGAGGTCACGAGCCACACGCGCTTATATCAATATCCGTTGCGAGGTTTTTTTTTTAACAATGTGGCGCCAGCGAGAATCCTACATCCGCCCTCTGGGGCGGATGCAGGATTTGGCGGTAGGGGGTAAGAGCAAGGGCTCAGATCTGATTTGAAAGGTGAGAGGACATTTCATGGATATAGTATATTTAGAAGGCCGGAAATGACACTTTTATATAGTAAAATTTATCATCATCACATTACCATTAGTCAAAATTAACCACCAACAAATTCTCATGATCTTTTATTTTCGGCAACCTCGGACCTAATTAATAAGTGTGATTATACCATAGACAATAAAACTTAAAAACATTGTCCTTGATGTACTGTTTTTACTTCACCTACTTCAAAACCGCGAGTCCACAACCACCTCAGCCCCACCATATTTGGGGCTGAGGTGCAAAAAAAAAAAAATTGAGGAAATAGTAGCACCATTAGATGGCCGGAAATGACACGTTTATATAGTAAAATTCATCATCATCACATCACCATTATAGTCTAAATATGAAGCTCCAGCAAATTTCTTATGATCTTTTATCAGCAATACTGTATAGACAAATCCTTTTAGAAAATGTGTGCTGTATTATTTAAACAGATATTCATAAAATGAACAGCAAATCTTAATCATCAAAATATTTTCCGAATTAAAAATCGTAAAGATACTAAGTGAAAAATAGTGGTCTAATGGTTATGACACCAGGAGGTCTTGGATTCGATTCCCACCCGAATTACTTGCAAAAATTTTCCTCACAAGTATTTCGGGACACACTAAGTGAACAATCAGTTCTCACCTATATAACAGGGGTCGCGTTTGTAGATCAGATCAGTTCGAAGGGTCAAATGATTATGCAAAGTGACTAAAGGCCAACCCAGACAGCGTCGGCCAACGCAGCCCGACCTGATTTATCGTCGGGGACAGTCTTCAGCTGTTGTGAGAAATATTAAACATGTTTAATATTCTACGACGCGACTGCACCCGACGCACACCGTCAGGTCTGCGTTTAACTAACACAGACCCTGAGTCTGAGTTGGTCTTTAGAGGTCTAGGAGAATAGTCTAAAATATATTTATTTGTATAAAAGGGCATACAACAAGCAATGTTTCTCAGGATGTGCGAAAATGTAATACATTTGTAGAATAGCAGTAGTTTTTTTAAATAGATTTTTACTACTGTACCTTGCACTGGTGTTGGAATTTCAAGCAGATTTATATGAGTTGTTGCAACTTATGACTCGTCACTGTAGCCATGCCTTTCACGTACACTTTGTGCAAGTCCAACAAGCTTCTGTTGCCTCAAAGTGTTCACCATGATTGGTATTTGTTGGGTCTTTGATTGGTCATCCCTCCAAGTAACCAAGTAACAATTCCATGATGCAGTCTTCGACCATTCTGTAGTTTTTTGTTATCTTTTTTATATCGGTCCACTTGAGTCCAAGACGCACTCCCAGTCTCCTCCATGATTCAGGATCCAAATTGTCACAGATAAACAGCAAATCTTGATCATTAAACCATTTTTCTACATAAAAATTATACAGATTATACAGTGAGTAAAAAAAACACTTAGTAATAATGATGAATATCGTTACTGAGGCTGCTCCTCCAGTCATTCATCATATTTTTGGCAGCCTTATAAGTCTGCGTATCATCAGCAATGAACTTGTTCACTTTCGACCACTTAAGTCCCAAACGGACACCAAACCTTCTCCAGCTGATATTTAAATCGTCAGAAACTGTCACAATGGTGACGTCATCCACAAACGCTAACAAACAAGATAATTATTACTTGAAAACGTAATTATCCCAACTGTATCTGACATGAGTTTTAGACACTCCATTTAAAAGAGAATTAAAACTTTTACTAAAAAAAAAAAAAATTATACCAACGCAATTGACCCCTGGTCTCCCAAAATTTCCGTACTATTTTTTTACTTTCTGTTTATGCATAATGTTGTTGGTTTAAAAAACCGAATATACGAAATAAGTGACTGGAAATTCGGGAAAAATAATAGCATTATTTTTAAACCATTATCCAGCAGTACAGATGACTTTTAAAACCGGTTAGTTGCAACAAAACATTTGTTTTCAATAAAACCAGCACCATCTTAATCAGATATAAAGTAAGTGATTCGTTATTGAAAAAAAACCATAAACATACCTGTTGTAAATCGTGTTTATAAAATGTAAAACTTATACAAAATTTGTTTAATTTGTGTAACTTATCGATGGACACATTGTAATCATGGCCAAAATTATTCAATGTATTGATTAATCAACCTACACATCTAAACCGCATTTTAACCGCATACCCATGATGAATGCACACTTTCAAGCAAAACAAAGTATAACATTGTTTTATCATGAAATAAGTTCAATGTAAACACCGTTTGTAGCTGGCTGTCGTGTTGCCGCTGTGCCAAATTTCACCCATTTTAAATTTCTCACCACTATGCACAATTCTTGCAAGTATCTTATTGAGAATGTGTTATTATTTTATGTATAGAGTTCTATTTTTCAAATTTTAGTTTACATTTTAAAATTTGTCATATTTTTTTTTTTTTTTTTCTCATGTTACCTGTGCAATTCGGAATTGGTCGGTATCAGTGGTGCCTTGATTATTCACCTGTAGGCCTTTTTTTCGGAACCGGCATCATCTCAATGTAATTGTATTGTATATTTGCCAGTGTGGGGTAGTAGGCCTATATAAATACATTATTAAAATAAATAAACAGTATTTACCTTGTTTTAACACGTTAGCTTTGTCTGTGTGCTGCCGGTCGTGGGAAAAAAGTCTGTTAAACATTTTTCTAGCCCTTGTGCCTATACGAGCATCAAAACCTCTCCGACAGCGCTGGACTGGAAAAAATAATTGTATTCAAATATTATTAATGTTATTATTATTATACTGCTCATGAAGGGAATGGTGAAATCTATTGCCTCAAGGTGATGTGGACACATATCTTACGGTCTCCACACATCACCGAGGGGCTGAATGTCACCGTTCCAGGAATCTAGAGTAGTCAATATTTGTTTATATACCTCATACATAGATACTACGAGACCTAAAAAAGTAAGAAAAATACTACAAACCAAGCAGGCCGTCTAATATAATAATTATACATTATATTATCTATTATAATAATATATTGAGTGTATCAAGACAATCCAATACTACTTCTTATTTTTTTTTAAATTATTATTATTAACATTGTTTTACAGGGATAATTGAAGGGCTATTTTTTTGTGTTTTTGAAAACAAATCGGTCAAAATCTGTTTTTTTTTTTTAAACTGATATAGGCTTATTTGTTTTGTTAGTAAGCCGTAACACGAAGTGTTGATTACAATTTATTGATTAGTACATAAATACTAAGTTAAAATTATTTTAGCCTCATTCAATGGTATACAAAATAAATGTTATCAATCCATACCTGAATGGTACTGAATGGTGTGAATAAAATAGTTAACCCTCTAGATACCGTCTTCGACTGTAGTCGAAATTGACCTCAAACTGAGAATTCCCATTTTCTACTGCAATCGAAATTTCGTGACTAAAAAATAGGTGGTTTTCAAATCGCTCTTCTGTTTTTATTTTAGCTCCAATACGTCAGAAATTTTGAACAC